TGAAATGATTTGTAAATAAGATATTTTACTTTTCTGTTGGACAACTGTATAATACTGGCAAAACTGATAAAATATAATCTTATTTAAATATTAAGCAAAAAGGTTAAATTAAACAAGTAAAACAACTTGTTTAATTTGTAGTATATTGTCCTTGCACGAGCACACTTTTAAGGAAAAACCGAATGCCACCTTTCGGCAAAAACGAATATTCCAATATGCAAAATAACAACGATGTACGTCACTCCGTACAAGGGATCACTAAAACAAAATAAAAATCAACAAAAAAATTACCTAAAAAATAATTTAATCTTTTGAACAAAATTGATTAAATCCAAATTACTTAAATTAGTAATAAGTTCCAAAAAATTCTCCAATGGAATAATAGAAGTTCCAAACACACTTTCCCGAATTTTTTCTAATTTGGAGCATTTAGCAATCACGTGAAAAGCATCCAATAGCTGATCATCCTGACAATACATGCAAATTTCTCTGCAATAATTCTATAAAAGAAAAAGGATTCAATTAACTTATCCAAAATGTGGATAGTCTCCCCTGTAATATTAATAATCATTTATTACAGCACAAATAACAAAATTTTTTACAGTACAAAGGTCCTGAAAATTTTTTGCATCTCAGCAACTGGGTCATTAATAATACTTTGCATTTAAAATGTAAAACCTGAATCGGATATAAGAAATACAAAATTGAAAACATAACTTTAAATTTATTTATTTGCTATTCAAAAATTGTATATAAAGCATTAAATCTTTACACAGTCAATTTTGTACTGTAAACTTTATTCTTTGAAGTTCTTCATAAGTTTCACTCCAGAAGCGTTAAGGGTTTAAAGGTTCAGAGAGTCGACTTTGGGACTTAATCCTCCCCATATAGAAAGAATTGGAATGTCATATACAATAGAATTATACTGTGCTATAATTTATTTTGTTTTCATCCTTAGTCTACCATATTGTGTTACTCTACAGTAAATAGGCTACCCCGTTCCTCACCACCCGGCTGCCCCATTGTGGGCCTTGCTGAACCCATATGGGCTTACTAAAAAGAGGCCCTCTTAGTGCCCACAGGGCGGAGAGTTAAAAAATAAATAAAAAAGTGTATAGGCTACCTGGACTGTATATTGTAAAAATTATTTTTTATAACGTAGTTTATGTAACTTGTTTTGTATAATGTCCTGAAAGTTTCAATTTTTTTAAGTCCGTTGATAATGCGTTTTTTTTGTTTTAGGGGAATAGTCCCGTGCCCATCATTCTGAAACCCGATAATCATTACGAAACACAGAAGTTAATTTACTCGGATTTTTATTTCTGAATAGTATTTTCTTTATTCTAATAATTTTTTTAAAAAAAAAACTCGCTATTTACCACCAGGACATACTTTCCAGTAGTTTATAGATATAATTTTCCACGTTGTTTCCGAAAATGTTCTTAAAATGGATTTTACCACATATACTGTATTTTTGAAATTTACTATTAATAACGCCGGGTGTAACAAGCTAGTTATTGATCTATCAAAAACATTTCCAGAAAGACGAATTAAACTTTCGACTGTCAGCTCGAAAATTGAGTTACTGAAAATATATACAGTATTTAGAAAAACACATTGAATTTTTTCCGAATATTTTAAAATTTAATTAAATGCTATTTAAGTTTTCTGAAATAATTTGTTTAAATTGGAGGAAAACTTGTTTAAACAAAGCAAAATTACATAACTTATGTTTAAATAAACATTATTGAATATATACTGTATATTATAAAGGAATAAGAAAAGGAAATGCAGAAAGTACTTTCATAGTAAATGATGAATAGAATTTATTATAATACAATAGCACGAATTTCAAAGCCTATTTATTATTCACCTGTCTTAAATACTACATCGCTTTTATTAATAAACCTTTTTTTTTTTAAGAATTAACGTTTCAAAGTGCATATTACTTAATTTTCAAATAAACAGCTTAACCTTTGAGTTTGATTTGGGCTAATTATCGTTTCTATCAAACACAAATTTAAATTATTAGTTTAAAATACTAAATTTAGTGTATTTCGTAATCTAAGAAGGAAAGTTATCTACCTAGAAATACTGGTTTATAACCATTCTCATTATATTATTTTTTCTAACAAGTTTTATATTGTGTAGAAGTCTTGGTGATCAAATTTCTTAGAAAAGTTGCGCATAATTAAATTTATAAAGATTTTCTTGAATTAACGAATTATCCTTCCTAATCGACGTTAAATGAAAATCAGATAATTAAGTGATGTGTTGGAATTCGTATTTATTCCAATTTAACGTCTTAATTTGGTATGAAAAATACTTAGTAGAAATATAAAACAAAATATTTTGAATTAAGTACCTGTTTTTTAATTCTAATTTACTTTATAAAAATCTTTCTTAAAAAGGGCGAATTCTATTTCTCAATATAAAAATATTCTCTAATCTATTGTACGGACATCATAGGGCATGGAAATGTAATCTGCACCCATAGAACCACTGAAAAGTTTTGTATGAAGTTCGAAAACTTTCTCTTTGTGCCTTCTTGCAGTTACAGTACCTCTTGTAAAAACATGGACCTCAATAAGACAATTAAACATAATGCCACCTCCGAACTAGTCTGTTTCTATGTTTCTTATTCTCCTGTATTATTTCTTTCTGATGATTGAGACAGAATATTTAATAGTAGTATTTATTGAAAAATACATAACTCAAGTTTCAAAAGAATTTATTAATTCTCAATTACTAGGTACATAATGTTCTTGTGATAAATTTATTCCTACTATCCAAATTACATAAAATTTAAGTCTATTACCACACGTTTTAGAACCAATAAAAATCTAAATTTTTTTAAACTTTATAGTTTTTGTATTTATTAAACTATATCTTTGGTGGTCCTAAAGCTTTTCAATATTTTAATGTTGTTATATGCATTATAAATAGAATAAAGGATATGACAGGATACCTTTTCATTTTGTGAAAAACTATTATTGAAGTATAGACAGAATAAAACTAAATAAATTAATTTAGTTATAACAAGAATTATTTACTTAATCCACTAATCGATCATTCAATCAATTTTTACAAAATATAGTTAACTTTGGACATTGTTAAAAATGATCAACAGCTGATTAAAAATTTTTTTGATTTTCTTAATTCTCTTTTATTTTACATATTTTACATTAATTTTTTATATATTTCAAAACCAAACTTTATTTCTATATCAAAATAGTCTGATTTCAATAGAAAAATATGCAATAATTTCTGAATAAATCTAACATATTTTAAATTGAATCGAAATCATCCAAACTATATACATAATGCATATTTAAACAATACTATGCTTTTTATTAATATATCAAATTGCAAACATTTTTACAAGCAATAATCATTTAATATGACTCATTAATGGTTAGTAATGTATATAAAACATTGAGAATAAATTAATAATAAATATAATTCAACAAAATATAAAAAATGAACAGCATAAAATTGCTTGCTTTGCACCTTCACATTTCAATTCATTATAAAATATAACATTATAGAAGCTGATAAGAATTATTGTCACAGATGTAAAATTTTAGTAGAGAAATAAATCAATGACAAACTTATAAGTAAATTAAGCTTGAAATTAATTTATTTTTTGATTAAAATATTTGCATAACAAGTATCATCTAAAAGTTAAAGAAGAATCTATAATTTATGGCACTTTTCACATTTCAATTTATAGCATCATGTATCTTCTTTTTTAAGTTTTAATATTGATAATAAATAATGTTTTTGGAATGAAAGTAAATTTTCTTGAATTCAAGTTATTGACAAACTTTTCACATCATGTGGAATGTTCTTGATGGATGAACATTTAATAGTAAATGGAAACCAAATAGATTGATGTTCTTAATTTTTTTGTAAATTAATTAAATTTTTATTTATAATTGTAATAATTTTAAGATTTTACAAGTTAGAGGAGTAACAGTAGTGAATTTAAGAAAAACTGACAAGTCATTGTTTTGTTTTGTGATTCTAACATTCTTTAAACACATGAAATTACTGTCTAAATTCAAATTTAATTTGGGATTCTGAGGAGAAATTTTTCAAAATAAAAAAAATTTTAATTATTCCTAGATTTTAATCAAGAAACATTTTGAATGATTATTTGTTTATTTAATAACAGAAATTTTGTTATGTAAGAATGCAAAAATGGAGTATAATAGTATCTTAATTTTGCTCTTACAGAAGACTCCATTTTTGCAAATTAGTCAATATAATTTTTGAATTCTACACAGTTACCTTCTCTACCTACCTTTCTTTATTGAAAGAAAATATTTATGATTCTATTGTTCTATCCTCATTCAAAGCTGATTTTGATTTTCACTCTAAAAAGTTCATTTTTTCACACTTGAAACAAACTAATAAAACTATTCTGTGATTTCATATTTTATAAATTATACCTTTACAAAATTCAATTTTATAAATTAAATTTGATAAAATTCAAATAAATAATCTAAAATTTAGTTCTGTTTGGTAAATATCAAATCCATGCATATTAATACAGTATGAAACTGTATGACATTGTAAAATTTGACTTGAAATTAATTTTTTTATAAGTCATAAGAACTCAATTCCATTTGGAGTCCAAATTTAATGTACATCATTTGTGAACATCCCATACAATACTCTCTTTAGTAATTAAATTTTTAAGCAAAGAAAAAATATGCATATGGATTTTCTCCAATAAATATATCTATTTTACAAATGAGCAAGGAAGATACATTCATTTGGTTTATTGTACTGTAATATTACATATTTTAGATTGCTAATTAAAAGAATATCTTGATATTAAATATTGTTTTAAGTTAAAATAGATATGAAAATCACAACCTGCATTATTTAAAATTTTTAATAACATTTTTAACATTTATATTATAACAAAAGCAATAGCTATTATTTTTCTATATAATAAATTTTAAATATAACATGTTCATATATATATACTTTATGATCATAATATAAAATATTTTCAATATTGATATTCTTTATAACAAGTATGTGCAAACAAACAATGCAAAATATTTTTATTTATCAATTTTAAACAGTTATATTACTTAAGGCACAAACAGTAAAGTGGAAGGAAATATTGCATAGCATAAAAAATATCCATTCAATCATGCTAGTTACTGATAAATAAAAGTTCCATATAAAGAAATAAATACAGAATAGCAATTTTGTTTTTTTAAAAAGGATTAAAACACTAAATAAATGTTATAAAAGCAATCTGATAAGTCAACATCAAACACTACTCTATAAAAAGTGTGATTATTAAAATTGTTATTATTACATAAATTATTTCCTTTGTGAATTGCATAAAAAACTAAGTATATTCATTTTAAATAAAAATTATAAAATTACTCTTTACAAAACAGGAAAAAATATATAATCATTATTTCAAACTGAAAAAGTAAATGAGACTAGATAATTATTTGGTATGAAGCAGTGGTTCCAAATTGAGACAAACTTCTTGGAGAAATGCAAAATATAGTCTTAGGAAAAGCTGAACAACATAAGGAAAAAGTATTCAATTCAGCTTAATTTAAATATCAGTTTCATAGATATCAATGAGAATCTTCATATAAAGGAACAGCACAATTAATTCATTTTAAAAAATTTAGATTTTGTTGTTTTTTTGAATATTAAGTTTTGATTACTGTTTGTATTGTTGAATATAGAGTACTTATCTTTTAACATACACACTTAGAGCATTTAGTTTATTTGGAAATTGTTAAAACAGTAAATTAGATTCATAATTTTTCAATATTTCCTACACAGAAATTATTCTCTCATAAGAGCATAAATAATATTAATGAAAAAGATTAATATGTTTTAATCAGAAAAAAAGATAAAAACATGATCATCTGCAAAAAAGCAGAGCAAATACGAAGTTTGAGAACCACTGGTATAAAGGACTTTTAAAATTTAAATTGTAACAGTTTTCAATAAAAGCAAGAAAAGTTCTTGCAATTTAAATTTGTTATTCATCAAACAATAATTAGTGTTTTAAAAATATTACTAAAATTACTTTCGTAGATCACTATGATCTATATAAATTGCCAATAGACTGTTGAATCTACTTTTGCTACATAATGTATGAACAAAATTAAGTCTCATTCCCTGAAATATCATCACATTTGAATCACTTCAACAATCTTATCAATTTGATTATGACGACTGTACAAAATAATTTTTATTTATACAATTGGATAAAGGCATTATTTACACCTCGTCAGGCATGAGTTCTTGCCCAATGTGATTATTAGCATTCGATTCGGTTACTTGTATGGCAGGAGCTTCTGCTGGAGGAATTGGCAATTTAACTTGTTCTCCTAGAAGTCTTTTCTCTAGTTCTTTTATACGATTTTCATGTTTAAGTAAAATAGATTTCAACTTGTGCATTTCAACAACTAGATCTTCCATCTTTTTAGTCTATAAATTATTTAGAAAGTTTTAATATATAAAAACTTAAAACATAATAAAAAAATAAATATTTCTAACCATTTCTTCATCATGTGCTGTTGTTGGTATTTGTGTTGCAGATGCAGACCTCACTGGCATTTTGTTTAACATATTTGGCTTCTTAACAACAGTTAATTCTTTTTTTGCAGTACTAGCAGCATATCCCTCCCTCAGTGACATCTATTAAATTTTAAGATCATAAATTTTAAATAAATAGTCATCCATTCAAATCAATTACTATAGTGTATCTTATGTAATTTTTTAATCAAATAATTTTAGAGGAAAATAATCTTTGTTATTGACTGTTTTCTCAAAAAGTTATTACTGATAAGATTTTCATTTTCTGCAGCTAACATTTTTTTGAGAATCTTAGCTTCACTGAAAATTTAGTTGTCATTTATTACTTTATCTGAGAAGTTTTTTGGTATAGAAGCATACTACCAATAAAACAAAACAATATTAATAATATAAATTGAATATATGTAAATAAAGAAAAAAAAATTGAACACACTTTTTTTAAGATTGTTTTATGAATGAAACACAACTAATTGATTATATATATATATTTGAAGTAACATTATAAAACAAATATTAAATTTCTTAAAAATATAAATTAATAATTTATTATTCTAAACTAAAATTTATTAAAATTTTTCTACACAATCTGAACTCAGATTTATTCGTTTAGAAAAACAAAATACTGAATAGCTATTATATTTGACAATCTACAGTAAAAAATTATTGTTTATACCAGTAATAATATTTAAATGAAAAATTATTTCTATTCAAAAACTTATCAGACTTAAAATGAAAATTATTAATTTGAATTTAAATTTTATTTTGTATTTAGTACTTATAATCAATATTTTTCTTATTGTCACTTAAAATATGATTATCTGTTAACTCTAAAATTTTTTTAAATTTACACAATTTAGTAACTAAACTATATGGAATAGAAAAAAATGAAAAACTTTATATTTGGATATTTAGATACCTGCTAATTTCACAGTCTACATAACTTAGGGTTACATAGAAACCCATGATTATATGTGTAATTTTGTAATGATGCCAAAATATATTATTAGAAACATGTGAGTAATCAAATATTTGTTATTAATTACTAATTTTGAAAAAAGTTAAATAAATTTAAGTTTCTAATATTTTAAAAATATATATTACTAAAACAGGCTCTGCATCTTTTCCACCAATCCATTCTTCTGCTGAAATTGCTGGTGTATCTGCTAATGTATCTGGATATAAATCATCTTGGAAAAGTTCAGACTGAAAAAAAAATTATATATTAATCAGTGCTAACATATTAATTAGAATCAAAAAACAATGTAATATTTTCAAAGTTTCTCTCAAAAATTCTATGTAATGAAAAATTGATTATAATGTATAAATCATTTCTAATGCATACTTAAACATTATTACTTAATGTAGTAATAATGTTGTAATAATTTGAATAAATAATTCTAATTATGCACAAATAACATTAAATAAACCAAAACTTACAGGTTTAATTAAAGCAAGAACTTTTGTTTGTTTTTTAAAAAACTTTTTCAAGCTTATGCAAATTCAAAGAGAATAAAATGTACTCAAATAAATACAAATATTAGTTGCCATAGTTAGGGTATGGCCAATGTGGCCCCCGCCATAGGCGCTGATTTAATAAAGGCGCCAATGAGAAAGTTTCGAAATATGTATTCAAAATTAATAACATAAAACAAATTTTTATATTTATATTTACTGTATATAGTATTTAAATGTCATTAGATAATTTTTTACAATAGCAGTTTTTTAGAATAAAAATTAAAAAGGCGCCATTTTTATTCTTGGCCATAGGCATCCAAAATCCTAGTTACAGCTCTGGCCATAGTAACATAATGCAAAAAATATTTTATATCTATAACCAGTAAATAATAAACAAAATAGATTAAATTAATCACATTAAATAAGATATTAAAATTAAAAAACAAAATTATTCAGCTAGATATTAAAAGGAGTTTAAAGTTCACAATGTTCAATAATTTGTAATACCTGTAAGATAAGAAAAAGGTTATACATTAACACATTAATTATAATTTAAGTTATGATGATAGTTGTTTCTGATGTGTCTTGTCCATCTATTTGTTTATATCAAGAGCATTACAAACTAGACTGTATGAACAAACAGAATATTCAGAAAAAGCATCTCACTAATAAAATATCAAAATTTGTAAAATTTTAAGGTTGCAAAATGTAGTTGTATTTTACAGAATTATTGAAATAGATAAACATTTATTACACAAGAAAAAAGTATCTTAAAATACAAAATGTTTCAAGGTAACACAAGTATATAAAATAAACTTTTAAAACATTTTTCATTAATTTTGGAAATTAAACTTAACTTTCTGAAAATGTAATAATTTCCCTTTTTTAAATCCTTGATTAATAATAGTAAAAATAACAAAGTTGTTTTCTATGTGTTTGTATAAGTTATCAACTAATTGTTTATTCTTTATAAAAAGAAATGCTGTTTTTCTTAAGTACTTCTCTGTTTTGCATACAAAATTTAAGGTAAATAAAATTTCTGTTTTTTTTTAAACATAAAACAAACAAAATATTATTATTATTCTGTAGTTAAAAACTTTACAATTTAAATTATTTTAAATAATGCATTTCAAAGACTAAATATTAATATTGAGAGAACAGTTTATTACCTTTCTTGGTACAGTAAAACTTATGACTTCAATGAAGCCACGAGAATGAAGTTTATAAAATCTGAAAAATAAAATTTTGTAAATTCATTAAATTCTACTATTTATGTATGTATTATATTTATTATTTATCAGAGTGAAAGAAAAGGACAGTACAATCTAATATAAAATAACTATTGTACTACAAATGATACAAAAATTTACCTCCAGATGTCATCTTATTATTCAATGTGTATTTCAAGGTATATGTACAAATTCATATATATATATATTTACTACATACCAATATTAACTATTTCTATTTGTAGTCTAATTTTAATTTTAAAAAATATTGGCTATTCAGTGTCTGCTTTTGAGTTAGTAACATTTGTGATATGACGTTTGCAGTGCCACTTTAGGAAAAAGATTATATTCTTTGTTAAGATGTGAAATTGATGATATCATCATCAAATGTTACCAGTGAAGAACAATAACTTATTTGATCCAAGTGCTAAGATATAGAGGTATAAGTTAACTTACATTTTTTTTTGTGCTTGAATGACAACAAGTTTTATGGAATGTCAAGTTATTGAGAGTAGAGTTTATGGGTCTCTACTATATTAACTATATTTAAATATGTAAGATATTCTACGAATGAACTCCTAGCATGTATATTATCTCATTTATAATGCTTCAAGTAATATTTTATTTCATTTAAAACATCAATACATAAAATAAGAATTTCTTTAAAAAGAAAAGCTTTTCATAAAATAAATAAATACCTTTGATTATAAATTTTTTGGTTCAGAATGATGAATTTTTCATCTTTTCATAATTTTTATTTATGGAAAATATATATATATATTTTCCATAAATAAAAATTATGAAAAGATGAAAAATTCATCATTCTGAACCAAAAAATTTATAATCAAAGGTATTTATTTATTTTATGAAAAGCTTTTCTTTTTAAAGAAATTCTTATTTTATGTATTGATGTTTTAAATGAAATAAAATATTACTTGAAGCATTATAAATGAGATAATATACATGCTAGGAGTTCATTCGTAGAATATCTTACATATTTAAATATAGTTAATATAGTAGAGACCCATAAACTCTACTCTCAATAACTTGACATTCCATAAAACTTGTTGTCATTCAAGCACAAAAAAAAATGTAAGTTAACTTATACCTCTATATCTTAGCACTTGGATCAAATAAGTTATTGTTCTTCACTGGTAACATTTGATGATGATATCATCAATTTCACATCTTAACAAAGAATATAATCTTTTTCCTAAAGTGGCACTGCAAACGTCATATCACAAATGTTACTAACTCAAAAGCAGACACTGAATAGCCAATATTTTTTAAAATTAAAATTAGACTACAAATAGAAATAGTTAATATTGGTATGTAGTAAATATATATATATATGAATTTGTACATATACCTTGAAATACACATTGAATAATAAGATGACATCTGGAGGTAAATTTTTGTATCATTTGTAGTACAATAGTTATTTTATATTAGATTGTACTGTCCTTTTCTTTCACTCTGATAAATAATAAATATAATACATACATAAATAGTAGAATTTAATGAATTTACAAAATTTTATTTTTCAGATTTTATAAACTTCATTCTCGTGGCTTCATTGAAGTCATAAGTTTTACTGTACCAAGAAAGGTAATAAACTGTTCTCTCAATATTAATATTTAGTCTTTGAAATGCATTATTTAAAATAATTTAAATTGTAAAGTTTTTAACTACAGAATAATAATAATATTTTGTTTGTTTTATGTTTAAAAAAAAACAGAAATTTTATTTACCTTAAATTTTGTATGCAAAACAGAGAAGTACTTAAGAAAAACAGCATTTCTTTTTATAAAGAATAAACAATTAGTTGATAACTTATACAAACACATAGAAAACAACTTTGTTATTTTTACTATTATTAATCAAGGATTTAAAAAAGGGAAATTATTACATTTTCAGAAAGTTAAGTTTAATTTCCAAAATTAATGAAAAATGTTTTAAAAGTTTATTTTATATACTTGTGTTACCTTGAAACATTTTGTATTTTAAGATACTTTTTTCTTGTGTAATAAATGTTTATCTATTTCAATAATTCTGTAAAATACAACTACATTTTGCAACCTTAAAATTTTACAAATTTTGATATTTTATTAGTGAGATGCTTTTTCTGAATATTCTGTTTGTTCATACAGTCTAGTTTGTAATGCTCTTGATATAAACAAATAGATGGACAAGACACATCAGAAACAACTATCATCATAACTTAAATTATAATTAATGTGTTAATGTATAACCTTTTTCTTATCTTACAGGTATTACAAATTATTGAACATTGTGAACTTTAAACTCCTTTTAATATCTAGCTGAATAATTTTGTTTTTTAATTTTAATATCTTATTTAATGTGATTAATTTAATNATGTAAGTAATCTGTCTGTGCCAAGAGTTTGCAACCAGAAGTGATGTGTTGTATAGTTTCTGGCATGATGTGACATTTTCTGCATGTGTCATTTGTGAGTGTTGTATTTTTGAGTATGTGTTTTCTGTAGTTTTTAGTATTTATGACCTGATCCTGTATGGCAATCATGAATCCTTCTGTCTCCCCAAAGAGGCATCCCTGATCTAACCAGCTGTTTGATGCAGTTTATTATTATTGGGGGGTTTAGTGGGTTATACTCGGTCGATACCATTATTATTATTATTATTATTATTATTATTATTACTGGTGCATGCTTAATTGAGTTTATTTTTATATGAAATTTATAGGGAGATTCCAACGTAAGATATTTTGAATTTACCGAAGAACCACCTTTTATACATTACATTAGTACTTACCAATCAACAGAACCTCAGAGAGGAATGGGTATGATGCCAAAACGTGGTTGTGATTTACATCAGTGTGAAATTGCAAGGTTTGTTGTTTTTATAATTAATATAAAACATTTATAATATTTAATGATACAAAATCTTTAATATAAACAAAACTTCTGCTATAGTAATATATTTTGATTAGATTTTACTAAATTTTACATAATTTAATTGATTAAAATTTTTAAATGTAAAATTCAAATCATGGAAGTGATTAGTTACTGAATTTAGCATAAAAAGTTTTTGATTTGAAGATTTTCTTCAACTAAAAAATCTGATGATAGCCATTAATAATTTGATTGATAATTATACTGATAATAATAGTCACTTTCCACTAATTGTCTGATTAATATTTAGTTATTTCAAATGATGAGTCAAGTGCGAATTATTGAAATTAGGAAACATTTCTCTTATTGAATAAGATGATATAGGCTTAACTGAACTAATAATTTAGCAATACCATATGTAAACAAAAATCATCGTATACTTTATTTCTCAGGTTACATTTAATCCAAAAATATTCAATCCTTATTCATTTATAATTATTTACTCTAAATATAATTGTAATATATATATATTACAATTATATTTATCAGAATGATGAATTTTTCATCTTTTCATAATTTTTATTTATGGAAAATATATATATATATTTTCCATAAATAAAAATTATGAAAAGATGAAAAATTCATCATTCTGATAAATATAATTGTAATATATATATATTACAATTATATTTAGAGTAAATAATTATAAATGAATAAGGATTGAATATTTTTGGATTAAATGTAACCTGAGAAATAAAGTATACGATGATTTTTGTTTACATATGGTATTGCTAAATTATTAGTTCAGTTAAGCCTATATCATCTTATTCAATAAGAGAAATGTTTCCTAATTTCAATAATTCGCACTTGACTCATCATTTGAAATAACTAAATATTAATCAGACAATTAGTGGAAAGTGACTATTATTATCAGTATAATTATCAATCAAATTATTAATGGCTATCATCAGATTTTTTAGTTGAAGAAAATCTTCAAATCAAAAACTTTTTATGCTAAATTCAGTAACTAATCACTTCCATGATTTGAATTTTACATTTAAAAATTTTAATCAATTAAATTATGTAAAATTTAGTAAAATCTAATCAAAATATATTACTATAGCAGAAGTTTTGTTTATATTAAAGATTTTGTATCATTAAATATTATAAATGTTTTATATTAATTATAAAAACAACAAACCTTGCAATTTCACACTGATGTAAATCACAACCACGTTTTGGCATCATACCCATTCCTCTCTGAGGTTCTGTTGATTGGTAAGTACTAATGTAATGTATAAAAGGTGGTTCTTCGGTAAATTCAAAATATCTTACGTTGGAATCTCCCTATAAATTTCATATAAAAATAAACTCAATTAAGCATGCACCAGTAATAATAATAATAATAATAATAATAATAATAATGGTATCGACCGAGTATAACCCACTAAACCCCCCAATAATAATAAACTGCATCAAACAGCTGGTTAGATCAGGGATGCCTCTTTGGGGAGACAGAAGGATTCATGATTGCCATACAGGATCAGGTCATAAATACTAAAAACTACAGAAAACACATACTCAAAAATACAACACTCACAAATGACACATGCAGAAAATGTCACATCATGCCAGAAACTATACAACACATCACTTCTGGTTGCAAACTCTTGGCACAGACAGATTACTTACATAGACACAATCAAGTAGCAAATATAATACACCAAGAGCTTGCAAAGAAACACAAATTGGTAGACATTCACGAATCATACTACAAGTATATACCACAAACAGTATTGGAAAACAAGATGAACAAAATGTACTACAACAGAGCCATAATCACAGATAAAACAATTTATCACAACAGACCAGACATCACACTCATTGACAAACACAATAAAATTACATACACCATTCCAAACACTCACAATGTACAAAACACATGCACTGAAAAAATTAACAAGTACACAGAACTCACCCAGGAAATAACGCATCTGTGGAGGATGGATAGGGTGCTTATTGTACCTGTCGCTTTTTCCTGTACAGGTGTGACATTACAATTGAATAGAAATACATACATCACACTACAGAAGGCCACTATATTACTACAGAATATTGAATACATGTCATATTGTTAGGAAATTCCAGACACACACTGATACAGTTTAATTTTTTTTTGTTTTGTTTTGATTACTATGCCTTGACTCTGGTCCAGCATACAATGTCAACCAAGTATAACTCACTAAACCCAACTAAATATTAATAATCTGTTCCAAACACTCAAAATACACACACTGAAAATACTTGGAATTTGCCCACAAACTAAAGATTCTTTGGACAATGGATAACAATGTGCCAGTAGTCCTTTCATGCACATGCATCACACCAGATAAACTAGACATCTAAGCCTTTGAACATTAGGGCTTCACAAAAGCACATACTACAATAGGCTGCCATACTAAAGTATGGCAACCTATTGTAGTATGTGCTTTTGTGGCTGCCATACTTTAGTATGGCAGCCACAAAAAACTTTCCTGACACAAGACTTTCCTGACTATTACATAGGCTGCCATACTTTATTATGGCAGCCTATTACATAGTCAGGAAAGTCTTGAATACAGAAATAAATGAACAGCATGTAAACAAAATATTTTTTCTATAGTTATTCCATGACTTTGTTCTAGCACAGCATAGGTACCAGTATATATACCTTAGCACATCTTTATTAATCTTGCTGGATTTAAAGATTTAAGTTTATTTAAAGAAAATGCTTTCAGGCATTTTTAATGGCTATCTTCAGACAACAAAATTCTTAACTGAATGGAACTATAGAATATTGTTGGACTTACAGATTTAACAAAGGTGTGTTAATACAGTATAACCAGTTAGTATAATACTAGGAATATGTATCATGTGTGACACACTCCAAACAACACAATAATCCCACACTCCTGGTTATTGCGCACACAATACCAAGGATGTACCTTTTTGGGTGCACAAGTTACTTTTTTTTCTAAGAGTTTAAGAGTGATGTTGCAATATACTGGTGCATGAGAAAATTATAATAATATTGATAAATAAATCACAGAACGACATTCATTACTGTGTAGTTTTATTTCCACAAAGTATAGCAAAAGTTTTGCATTTATTCGTGATGTGCTTGATTGTATCAGCACTCGTTTTATTATATACCTTTAATTCTTCAAATGTCTTTCAAAACTTTATTAAAACTTTAAACATACTAAAAATGTATGCTCGTTTATCACCTAACTTGAAATTGGACGATCCAAAATATCATAAAAACGCTATCTACTTTTTATTGTTCTGTTACATTAATTCTTATATGGTTCAAGTAAATGCATACATATATTTAAGATATCGGAATAAACAGATATGGAATAATTTTGATACATTTTGTTGTTGTTATATTGCTATTATTCTTGGATATACTTTAGGTGTTATAATGACACTCATATATACTGGATATACAATAATTCGTGTCCTTATGCAGATCAAACACTGCTTTTCAAGTGAAATAGAAAGAAAATTAAAATCAACTAGAGATGTTTACATTGTCCACCAGAAAGGAATAATGTTATATAATTTAATTCAAATTGTTGATCGCATGATTGGTGCCATTAATTCGGAAATAACAATATCTATTTCAACTGAAGCACTTATTGTTTTATGCACAATTCTGTTTTTGGATTTACCAAGTTATCTTGTATTCCTCGGTTATACTGCTTTTCTTTTCTTGTTTTTTGGGTTGGTATTGTTTATTTCAATTTTTGTTCCTTTATCAGTTGAAGTAAGTGTTAATATTTCTATAAATTAATGCACTTATGAATTTCATTAATGCATTAACACAATTTTATTGTTGTTACAGTTATCGACGATGTGGAATTTATTGATGTCACTCTATTTTAAAGTTTTTGATATTAATTCAGAGTTAAAGGTTAGATTCGCTTTATAAACTTTAAGTAATGATACTGAAGTAAATTACTTAAAACCTTAAAATCTTTTATAGATACTGAACATGTTTCAAATGCAGAAAAGTACGAAAGACGGAATGAGCTGTAACAAGTTTTTTATTATAAATAAGATGTTTATTATTAAAGTAAGAGTTCAAATTATTTTTGTGTCTATAAAAAGTATGCAATTATTGTTTTATAAATAAAACTTATAGTGTAATTTTGATGTTTCATTTTCTCTAAATAAATATCCCCAAAATGGGCCATATGAATGGTTAGAGACGGTGATCGCATTATGAATTCAACTATTGTATTGCCATTTGTAACTTGGCAGTAGAAAGAACATAAAAACCATATAACTATAATATATCCCTATTCTTTTGTTATGTCAATTTTAAAATAGAAATATCGTTAAGTGGTCAATCACTGTAGCGTTTACTGTATATCTCTTTGTTTAAAAATTTCTCGGGCTATAAATTGAAAGAAACATTTTGTCAAAAATCCGCACCTGAAAATAACCCAGTTGCACAATTGACGATAATCTTTTAAACATTGAAATGGAAAGAAATATTTTAATTTAAGCTGTGGCTAGTAATTGCACTTTTTAGATCTGTTCAACAGTTACTAATTAACAGTCACTCGCCCTAATGCTGTTCATATATCTAAAAGAAAAAAAAACATTGAGAAATATGAAAATATGTAATTCGCTTTAGAAATTATTCAGTGAGTCAAATGTGGATCTTTAACTTTCCTTCATATCCACAAGAAAAACTATTAAAATATAAATTTAATAATAATCATAGCTGTTTATATTTATTATTTATAATATTATATTTTTATCTTTCAGCTAATTAACTACATTGTTATCCAAACGATCGTATTAATACAAATCAGTTATAGTTACAGAAGTTATTTCAATTTAAATTCTACAAGATTATACAGAAATATCACAGAATAAATGTAAAATTTTACAACTGTTGTTTAAATTTACATCTGTGTACATGCTTATGTTTCTCACCCTCCAATTATAATTACTTTTCTTTTTCAGCTGTAAAAAATTTGTAACAATTGATCAACGGGGACGATGTCCTTTTTCGTTATAGCAGAAGAGAGAACAATTAGGAGTAGTGCAGTTTTTAATTAAAGCATGGTCATAATAGTGGTAAGAATACGAATTCAATTAACAAGGCAGTTTTCAGTTGTCTCTTATATATGCATTTTCTTCAGAGAATCCCTTTAAAAACATATAATCGAGGTTTTATATGTACATGTTGTATACCTGTGACATATATAATAAAGAATTTAATGAATGCGTTATGATATTTGAAATAAATTGTATTTATTTCAAATTATTTCTCGGATTAAAAGAAATTAGTACATATTGTGATGTGAGAATTATTTTTAAAAATATTTACACACTCAATATACAGCGATGTCCCGTACACTCGAGTACACGTTCTACATTATAAAAAATCGCGTTATCGAAACACGCATTATGAGATGATGGTATGCAAGTTTAATCCTAAGCCCAAAAAGTTGAATAAAATGTATGCCTCTGTACGAGAAAATTAGAATTTTCTGTGAGTATTAGTCACAATTTTTTTGATCGCGTTATACGAATTCGAGTTACAGGAACGCCCGTTATATGAGAGTTACCTCTATTGGTTTTTTGATTTGTATTACACATGAAATGCTTACACCATAGTTGCATAAAATACCGTAAATAACTGATAAATATTTCTAATTTTACACGTGTCAAAAATCGTTTAAATAGTTTAAGTAATTGGTAAAATTATGTTCTATTCAAAAGTTTATTTTTTCATAAAAATTATTATTTAATAAATTTTTTATTAAAATTTTAATATCGAATTTGATTTACTAATAAAGTGAAACCTGTCTTATATAATTTCTAAATAGGGTAAATAGGAAACCTGCCTGAATGGAAAAAATTATTTGAAATAAATCTACACTATTAACTATTATTGACAGATACACCAATTTATCAACTTATATATAGTTGGAATGCCTTAAAAGAAGAATATAAAGAATTGTGTACTTACGGACAATTTAAACGGACTGTGAAAAAATTGATATGTGATTAGTTGAGTGTATTTTTTTGTTTTGATGTTATTGTATTTTTCTTTTCTGTTCTTTTTTGTTGTTTTGTTGATTGTATACTTGGTAAAAGTCTGTATCATTAATTTTTCTTTTGACCCTTGAAAAAGGCCAATGGCCATAGGGTCGTATGATTAAATAAATAAAAAAAATAATGAC